GACTATTCCTCCTGTGACAGCCGCTGTCTCAGAACCAGTGTCTCTCGCCTCTCCTCATCCAGTGGTACTCCCTGCCTCCTCTTCTTATTTAGACTCTGTGCCTTGTAAATCTTCATCTAAAAAAATTGATTTTAATGTCTCTTTGCCTGATCAATTCGTGTCTCCCGTATCTCATGATAATTTTGATGTTCAAAATTTGCCTTTACCTGGTGACCCTTATGATCCTTTGACTCACAATTTACCTAGAGAAACTGATAATTTAGTAGCTTTATCTGACTTGGTGAATTCCTTGCCATCTACTTTTGCCATTCGCAATGTAGCCCAACATGTTTCGGTTCCAACCATGTCGTGTTCTGCTTTTTCAATTCCCATTTCTATATCTGTTTCTAAAATTCAGTCTGAGCTTGTGCCTATTCCTGTCTCATCTACCCAAGACTCGGTTCCTATCATATTTTTTCCTCTGGCTAAATCTTCTCGAAAGGGAAAAGAGAAACTGTCTGTTTCAGGTACTGCGGAAAAGAGACGGTTGTCACATTTGGAAGATGTAGAAACTCAATCTGACCGTAAACATCAACGGAGGGGTTCCACACTTCCGCCCAGAGTTACTCGGTCCCGGACACTTGCAGAATCTCCATCTGTGTCGGTCCCATCTAGTTCAAAATCAAAGGGGTCCCGTAAACCTTACAAGTCACGGCTTCTATCCCCTGACTTACTAGCTGATTGGGAGGTCCATGTTAGTCGAGACTTCATCCTTGAGAAGTCAATTAATGAAGAGGAGTTGGCTGCCAAGTGCAACATTATCCCATTGTTGCGTGAACAAAATTTGCTTGCATCTCTACTGCATGTTGGTCCCCACTCCGCATGGTTGACAGCCGAGTTCTACACCAATTTGACCTTGGACACATTCACTGAAGGTTCTGCCCGGTTTCATCAAGTGTTTATTCGGGGCACATGGTACCCCTTCGGGCCTATGGAAATCAATGCCTACCTCGGTACTCCGAATCACCCGGCTGCTCCGGATCCGCATCCTCATCTATTGGCTGCCGCGCTGACACACAACAAAGATATCTCTTGGCCAAATGACAGAATTTCCAGCTTGAAGCTTACTACTGTCTACTCCGTGCTTCTTCGACTTGCCTCGGCCAACTGGATCCCGGCAGTGCGTCGTCACAATGTCTCGGGACAGCTAGCTGGCCTGCTCTACAAAATCAGAAATCGTCTCCCGTTCAACCTTGGGGAGGTTATATTCTCTCATTTGATGTCTTTTTTGCAGAAAAAAGAAGCTAAAGTCCATCTTCCATATCCGAGTTTAATCTATGGGGTGCTTCAAGAGATGGGTTTCGGCCGTACAAAGAGGAGGTTATTACTGCTCATGATAATGTATATCAGTATGATGACCGGCTCACGCAGAGAGGCCACTTTGATGATCGAGCATCGCTCAATTCCGTTCCTGCTGTTCCACGGCCGCCTCCACTGGTTTCCGCTCCAGTTTCCTCTGCTGACACAGCGTCTGGCTCTCGTCCTGCTTCCAGGCCAATTCCCAAAGAGCCTCAAACATTGGTTGATCGTCGACAAATTATTGTCACTCTTGAGGCCTCCATTGCTCAGCTTTAACAGTCCGTTGATTCTCAACAAGCCACTATTTCCGGACTTGCAAATCTACATGATGCCCAGCTCAAAGAGGTTGCTCGAATGGAGGCCATTCACGCTCAAATTTTGGCTGATACTGGTGGCGCTTCCTCTGGCTCAGACTCTGACGATCAAGATGATGATTCCGACTCGGGCACCCCGTCTGCACGGTAAATTCAATCCACTATTATGATGTTCACCTTCCTTTGTCATTTATTTGGCAAAAAGGGGGAGTTTTGGAGTATTTTGGAAAGGGGGAGTATTATGGTAACTTTGGAGTATGTTGGAAACTTTTTGAAGTATTGGATGCTTATGAAATTATTTAGCAGTGGTTATAATTTTTTGGAAGTCTTTATGTTATTCATTATGGAAATAATAGAACTATATTAGTTAGGGGGAGTAGTAGTTGTGTTTGGTACGCCTAACAAGTTGAATGGATGTTTCGGGTTATGCTACTCTCACATGAACAAGTTAATTTATGATGTGGTATGCTATGAATTCAATGCTTCTGTGGTTGATCCAAGAATTGGAGATTTCGAATCAGGTACTTTATTCTCAAATGGTCCAAAAAAAAAAAAAAAAAAAAAAGAACTTAAGTTGTTTTGGCTTTATTCTTTTGTGTCTTGTTAAGTACCTATACTAAGGGCCATAAATAAAATTAAATTGATTCTTGCCCAAAGTATTTGATACTCAAGTTTTCCCAAATAAAATGCCAAAGGGGGAGATTGTAAGTGTAAAATAATTTACACAATATTGGCTATTTTATTTTTAGTCTCATTAGCTTTAAATTAAATTAGTGTTGTTAAATTATTTCTGTTTTGGACCATGTGGTTACAAAATAAGTGGATGACATGCATTGGTGAATAAAGACTATGGATGAAGCATTCAAAGAAATAAGGTGTGTGGCTGTGGCTTATTCGAACAATGGAAAGCAAGAAAAAGGGCTACGTTTGAGGATAAAAAAAGGAGCTCATGATATGCTATAAAAAGGTGATGTTCGAAAGAAGACACTGCCAACTTGATTATTACAAATTGCGAGAGCTATCCTGATTTACTAAGCTATTCATTTTAATGTGATTTATTATTTAAGTCTTAAGAATATTTAATCTGTACTACATGATCAGTACGTGGTATTGCTGAAGCATCTTGTGAAGATTGTTTGGGTTTTGGTGTGTCAGTCCTAGATAGGTGTTAGAAAGAGTGGTAGTGGTAAAGGCTGGAGGCCGTCTTCATTTACCTCTTGTAATACTCCTTTTGGTGAACATCTATAGTGGATTGGGCAGACGTGGGTTGCCCTGCAGACGTAGGAGAAGGAGCTCCGAACTGAGTAACAATTTCTTTGTGTTTTTGATTTACTTTATGCTTTCTGCTGTTATTATTTACACTTGCTTAAACGAGTCTAATTAATTAATGAAACTGGTGCATAACTTAATTAACGAGTAAAAACACATTGCTTTTATTTTTCAAGTATCACGGATCGGAGCAATTTCAAACATAAAAAGAATAAAAATCAAAATATATAAGTATTTATATGAATATTATGAAACATATACTAAAATTTGATGATGAAAAAGTTGCTTTGTTCATGTATTTAGGGAGAATTAGAGAAAGTTATGGATCAAAAATTAATAGAAAAAATAAAAATCAATATAAACAAGCAATAATGAAGTAAAAATAATATTATTTCAAATTTTTAGAGGAAAATTGTAAAGTTTATGAGAGAGAAAAATTGATAGAGTTTAGGTATGAGGAAAATATAGGATAATGAAGAAAATAATAATTTTATTAAATTTAGATAGGTTTATAAAGTTTAAATTGGGAGAAAATGGAGTTTAAATAGAGAGAGAAAATATTCAAAGTTGTTAGAAAGAAAATTTTGAAATCTGAGGGTTGATGGTTGGATTTTAACTATTTATATTTGAGAAGAAAAAGTCTACAAAAATCTTAAAATTAAAAAGTCTACAAAAGTTCATAACTTTTTGAATACCACGTGACTTTTAAAGACTCTCTAAAAGTCTTAATCGAATACCACACGACTTTTAAAGACTCTTTAAAATTCTTGATTGAATACCGCCTAACTTTTAAAGACTCTCTAAAAGTTTGAATTGAATACCCCCAAACTTTTAAAGTTCATAAAAGTCTTTAAAACTCTATGAAAGTCATGATTGAATACACCCCCTAAGAGAAAAGTTTGTGCCCTAATTACTCTAAAAGTGATAAGGTGGTGAGGTAAATTTTTTTTTTTTTTGTTTTTTTTTTTTGTTTTTTGGCCACTAAATCATAGAGTTGAAATATGATTTAGGAATGCAGTAAAAATTTTATTACTAATTTCTAAAGAAAAATAATAAATTTTGATAGATCTAATTAACAAAGACATAAAAAAGATCACTTTACTAACAGCTAGAGATATGGTAAACTTAACAAGATTAAAACCTAGGCGGCTATGCCATATGGGATAACAACACAAACACCAGCCACCCAAGCTACTTAAATCTCATATATCATAAGGCCGGCATGGTGATCTACTTACCCATGTAAAGATCACTGACATCCAAGTAGTGGAAATACACATGTATGGCCAAGAATTAAGGCATATTATAACCGTACATTTGTCAAGCATATGAAAGATTTCAAACACTATATAAGGGGCTTAATGTCTCCATTTAGACATCACCCCTTGGACCATTACGACACTCATGGCTTAGTGTGACTTGTGGTCCTAAACTTCAACCTATACAGTAAGATTCGATTCTGACAAAACTATCAGATAGTGACTATGAATTTTTCTCATCATCCTTTATTAGTATTTTTTGATAAGTTAGTGATGAAAAAAAAAACTACCAAGTCAATAAAATAATCATATTTTATTAATATTTTATTCGGGCCCAAAGTGGATTACTTCTAAAAATTGCTTACTTAGAATTTGTGCCGTGGACACTATACACTAATGACTAAATTACAAAACCAATCTAAAACTCACACGAAAAATGAAAATTTTAAAATTATTCAACTATTAAGACATAAAAATTGATTTTTATTTATTTCTTGAGTATTATTAACTCTATTACAATGTAATATATGTTCATAAGTCATAACTATTTTCTTAATTTACTGAAGCACAAAGAGCTAATATCGCCCCAACTAAAGATTGAACCCATGATCTCCCAGAGCCACTTTTATTTCTGTCTATCAATCAAATAATAAAATTTGAATTATTCTTTAATCATAAAATTACAATTATTCTCTCCATAATTTCTTCGTTCAAACTAAACGTAATTTAGTCGAATTTGAATTAATAACAAGATAACAAATATACGGAATATGGCATGCCAAAAAAATTATTGATAAACTTTTTTTTATACATCTCCGTTTTTTGTAGTGAGTTTGTGTGCCGTTTGAAGCCAAAAATAAGACGACACAAATGCAGATATTTCGCAGGCTAATCAAACGTCCACAGCCTCAGAGGGCATTTTCGTCATCTTTCCACTATAAAGGCCGATGAACTCGTGGCTACCGCGAGGCGAATCAACGTTCCCCGTCACCCACCAAATCACAACCGTACGTTACCGAATTCACTTCGCCGCCACGAGCGTGACGCCACCGCCTCTGGATTCCGCCGGAGCTGTGGATGGCTGGGACTTGCTCTCGGGTCACTCCTCACGTAATCCGGTCTACAGTCGCCGAACTATCCAGGACCGCCCGCACCGTGGCTCTGCTTCCCGTTCGGATATCCGTCCGGAGCCACGGCGTCTCTACTTGCGACGAGAGCGAGATGCCTCAAGGTCCGTCGTGTATATTCGTCGGACCTATAGAGACAGCTAGTCAAGAGACGCTAGAAGCTCTTTACTGCCAAGTATACTCATTCAAACTACCACTTCTTACTATATTTTTGCTGCGAACTCAAATTCTCTAATTATTTACTTAGAATTTCGTTATTCGGATATGTTAAAACTTAAATTGTTGCTGACTCGCTGTATTTGATGAATTTTATAGAATTATTTGCTTGGTAGTTTGCTATTAGTAATTGGGGAATGTATGCTTCGATTAATTAAGAGAAAGCCAGTATGAAAACAGACTTTATTACTTCTTTTCTAATTTTTAATTTGTTTTATAGGCACGAGATTCGTATTACAGTGGCTCACCTCTAATAGTTGATGATATGTTTGATAGAGTGGAGGTAAGTTTTCAGGTTTACACATAATATGTACTTAAATTTCAATAAGTTACTTTTTGTTTGGGCTATTTCTTTATGTTCTTATGCTGAATTGTTATTACTGTAACAGTTAAAACTACGATGGTATGGTTCACAGTATGTTGTCAAGTACCCTCGCTGCAGTCTAAAGCGCCAGTCAACTTATGCTGATGCAGAGGTGATTTTATTCTTAGCTGCTTAAAATAGTACTCCCTCCGTCCCATTTTATGTGTCTGGAGACTTGACTGAAGTTATTTTGAATTCAATTTTTCATAACATTAAGTTTAGTATTAGTATCCTCAAAAAAAAAAAAAAAGTTTAGTATTAGTATATAAAATTTATATATTTAGAAATTACATTAAAAAATACTATAAAATACAAAATTTAAATTTAAAAATAATTAAAAATTAATAAAGAAAATAAGCAAAGAATAAAGGATTGGTTTGACCAATGAATAGTAAATAAGACAGACAAAATGGGACAGAGGGAGTATATTGTTCTGTACCTGGACATTCATTTTCTCATTGATCTTGAAGTGTTGGAGTAGTACTTTGAATTCAACCATTCAACTGAAGATAGCTCGCTTAAGTTTTTACTTGCTATAATTTCTACCCCTTTAACTTCAAAGTTTTGACGTTAAGCTGAGGATTTTCAATTGAAATAGAGTATATGCAATAAAAGCTTGTTTTTCGTTTAACTTGAATTAAATACTAAATAGGAGTGTTTCAAAAAAAAAAAAAATCTAAATAGTAGTATTTTAGTGAAATTTATAATCTTTTGCACATACTAAAGGAATCATAATATTCCGTTTAAGAGCAAGGGAGAATTTATAACTGAAAGTCTCATTCAACAAGACAAATGCTGGTAAGCATGTCTTCTGAAGATTAAAATTGGACAGGAGACTAGGAGAGGTGAACATTTTTATTGTTACGGAGTATTTTCTTATTAAAAAAATGCTATTATCTAGTTCTGGTAATGCTATGGCTGTGTGTTCTGTCCTTCGGTATATTATCATAATTTGGTTGTTCTGGTGCTACATCATTTTGAGCAGTAGGATAGTAGGTTATTTTCTCCACTTGAATATTGAGTGATGTGGATGTAGGGCAGGAGGACGCATCACAGGTTTTTGCACTAGCAAGCATATGGCTCCTGATTCTTGGTCTTGGTGGTTCGGTTTGTCTTGTGCCCATAATATATACTATCGGTCAAGCTTATCAAGATGCATTCAGTTCAGGAATGCGCTACACTAGTCAAGCATCCTCGCTGCAGTTTCTTACTGTGCTTAATGGTGTACTTTACATGGTATTAGGATCCATCATAGGGTATCCCATTGCTTCAGCGTCTGGTAATTAGTTGATCTCCTTTCACTTTCTCTTCATGTTTCCTTGATGAGTAATATTGAGTTTGATTCTTTTGATTAGAGAATTGAAAATTCTGCATTATTGTTTAGCTTTTGAGTTCGCTTGATTTAATAATTGTGAGTTGGAATCAGTTTCCTTAATTTATCCTTGAGTCTGTTGGTCAAGTAGTATAGTTTACTAAATATAAATTGGATAAGGGTCTAAATGTCTAATTCACAGGTCCCATTTGCTACCTTGAGAAATGGGCAAATGGCATATGGCAAATGTTAAGACTTCATATGATCTAAAATTGTCATTGTTGGTGTAATGAGCATTCTGTACTTCAATAGAGACTAAAATGTACTGTAGTTAGCAATAACATTAGTATCCAAAATTGCAATGTGCATACCATGTGGTACCTAATGCAGTCAATGAACGGCATAACTTGTAATTGCAATGACTTGTGTGATGTGGTTGTTACATAATGTATGGATGTATCCTTTTGCCCTTTCCAAGAATTCTTTTAAAGTTATTGTGACCCATAACTCAAGAATTCATCACAGCTGGAGCACTTCAAGGGCTTTGGAAAAATGACACGGTTGCACTTAAAGGGGCATGCCCAAACTGCGGTGAGGAGGTGAGTCAGCTGAGTGTTTGCTTTTATTTCTTTCTAAAATCAAGGCTATAAAACGTTTTGAACATCCAATCCTTACAGCTTCAAGGACCAATTGCAGGTGTTTGCTTTTGTGAGATCAAATCAGTCCAATCAGTCTCCCCACAGAACAGAGTGTCATGTATGTGAGAGCTTGATAGAATTTCGCACCAAGGTTAAGGTACATTTAACCATGGCCTCCTTCATACATAAGACTGCACACTAAGATTTGGTCGAAGTATTCTTGTTTATTGAGACACTCTTAGATTTCTTTTATCAACTAAACAACTCTTTCCTTTTCCACTTAAAACCATTCCATTCCCTACCTTCTGAGTTATACAATTCCGATAAATTTAATGATCTAACTTGCATGTGTCCTATTGCATCAGTCCACCTCGAGACCTGGGCAGAGATGGGTTTATGGCCGTGTTTACTTGATTCGGCAGAAGAGAAGTAGAAGGCAAAGATAGTTGTAACAGCATTGTCAATATCTGCTAATGGAGCCTTCTGCACAGTAAAAATGTTTGTGCAATACTCATTTTCGTTTCACCTGAGAAGATGTAACCAATACCATGGCATTGCTATGTAGCGGAGTACAAAGCAAACAAAGACAAATGGGTCAGTATTTCCAATTGCTTTGAAACAGAATTCTGTGATATATAGATAGGGATTCTTTATAGCCCTTTTTTTCTTTAGTTCTTTGTAATTTTGCCTTCATTTATAAGGTTTGGGGTGAAGAAGCCTTTGTCTGAAACCTTTTTTTTTTTTTGTTTTGTTTTTTTTTTTTTTGTTTTTTTTTTTATGTGGCTGAATATGGTCAGACTGCTTATGGACTAACTAATTCTTCACTTAATGCAAAAATCATTAAGCATTTAAACCCTTGATAAATTAATTAAATCTCAAAATAAATATATACATTGTTTTATACAATTCTTGAATGCCAAGACCTTGTGGTCTAATGGCACCCGCGTTGGACTCCCATATGGGAGGTTGTGAGTTTGAGCCTCAATAGAGGCGTTATTGGCTCTTTGTGCTTCAGTAGGTTGAGAAAAAAATACAATTCTTGAGTTATATTGGCAGAGTATTACTCCATTTATCTCATTATAAAGTAGTGCAAGTTAGGTGGATAAATATGCAATGTTCTCTTGTGGTTTTCATAAAAAACCTAGTTGCTTAGGTAATCGGTAAACATACAACTGGATGTAAGATTAGATGTAAAAAATGTTAAGCTTTGGATAGTAGTGGGAACACATTATATTATAATATAAAAAGCAAAGGATAGTGAAAGGTTGTGTAAAGATAAGGTAGACACGAACTTTGGATAAGAATATTTTGTGTGATTCTCAACGAGATTGTTTTGTCATATCAAAGTATAAAAAATGATGCTTTGTCAGCTCACAAATACAAAAATTTTTACAACCCGTTTAGTTTGATAGAAAATATTTGAAGGAAAATGGAATTCAAATTTCATGGAAAATAATTTACTAGGAAAATAGATTTCATTGTTTGGTTGGTGAAAAAAATTACTGTGAATATGAATTTCATTGTTTGGTTGGGTTTGGGAGGTAAGAAATTATGAATATAAAGACTAATATGCCCTTAACAATAATTTATACATATGTAATTAATAAATTTTGATGAGGACAAAATAGTCCAATATTACTATATTTTCTTCCCAACTCATCCGGAAAACAAAATACCAATGTTTAGGTCAGTTTTTCTTTTCCTTCACCTCTAGGAAGTCAAAATCCCCTGGCAAAAATTTTTCATCCAACCAAACAAGGTAAAACAACACTTTCCTACATTTCATAGAAAATCTTTTCCATAGAATTTGATTTCCATCCAACCAAACAGCCCCTTATTGTCATGTCAAGAGATAAACTCAAACTCAACATTATTCAAGTACAAATATGTCAAATTGAAATTCACATGAACTTAACTCACTAGTTCAGTAGACAATATTTGAGAAAAGAGACTAATGTACAGTGTGAGAATTATGCTCAAAGTGGACAGGCCCTGTCGGCTAAGTCAATGCTCTGTCGGGTCAGGTGTGAGGAGTCCTTGGGGGTATATGTAGCCATTGATCCACCATGATTTACATCCCCCTAAATATTCTATCAGGTTAGGAATTCAAGATGTTAGGACCCTTAGAGCATCTACATCAGAAGTTATTTAGGGGTTATTGTTAGTCAAAAAAACTTGAATGAAATTATTTAGAGATGTGGGGTGGAGTAATTTGTAGAATTTCTCCTGCAAAGAGTGGGAGAATTGTGGGGTCCATACTGAAATAAAAACAAAAAGAAAGCTGTGGTGTCTCCGCGTGAAGGGAACGCAAGAGGCCACTCGGGCGCGTGCAATGCACGTGCCCGATGGCGCGCGTGACGCATTACCATTTTATATTTAAAAAAAAAATAAAAATCAGTTTTTTATTTATTTTTCTTTCTTAATTTTTTTTCTTTCTTTTTTCCTCACCCCTCCCACATTCTCTCTCCCCAACTGATACTGATGCTCTTAGAGAGTTGGGGGTATATATATGTCAGATTTTACATCAAAAAAAAAAAAAGACGATTATTGATTATTATGATAAATAGGAGAGGAAGATGAAGAATTGGAATTTATTGAGATTGACGATGAAGTTATTAAGAAGTATACACAGAATGGAGAAATACAAAAGTATGCAGCCTACCCAACCCCCAATTAGAATGGGGTTTAGTTAAGCAGATGATGTTTCTCAACTGCTGAATCAAAGCTTACAACATATATATATAATATGCTCTACACTTTGCTTTGCCTTTCTTCTATATTAGGCACAGTAAATACAATACCCAAACCCCAAAAGAACAAAACACTTATTTTGATCAAGTAAAATGCCAGGCCCTGGCACCAGAAACAATCCCTGTCAGCAACCACTTATTTACAGGTAATGTCAACCACACCCCCCACCCCCCCTCCCAGCATGAGAGAAATCACTGTGTGAAGAAGCTACATACATACTGCATTTTACTAGGTTCTAACTTCCCCGTCGCACTTTTTTTTTACAGATGTTATAGTACAGAGTAACGAGAGATAATCGTAGAACAACCATCTCCAAACCCGGTGTTGTGAAGCAAGCACGGTGTTTTCTCAGAGGAGAAGGCACGTCTCGGCCTGCTGTTTCATCTGCTGCTTCGCTTGCTGCTGGGACCAGTATGCGTGAGCAATTAGGACGCGGTCCAAGAGCTCCTGGGGCACTGGCTCGCCTCTCCTCTGCTGAGGGGAGATTCTCGCTGTGTGCACTAGCGTTTTCCATTTGTCCTGGATTATCGTCGATGTTTTAACTAAAAGAAACCTAGTATTGTGTGACATACAAAAGATCATCATAGTTCGTACCTTCAAATCAACATAGGTTCTATGTTTGGCGTTGTCAAAAGCTCGCAGCTTAACATCACGCCACCTGCAAAACAAAGAGGATCGGATAATGGAGCTTTTCGAGCCAATGTTACTCGTGTACATCATAAGACGTGAATTGACTATTGTAGAACAGAACAGGTTCCTTGAAATACCTGCCAGTTCCGAGCTTCTCGACAGCTTGAACAAGCGCTTCTACTTCAGATACAGAGAAAGGTCGACGAATTCGGCGTTGTGCAGCCTCGGATCGCTTCGGTTTCCTCACCGGAACCACATCATGGGGCTCCGCCATATTCACTGCAGGAACTGGAACCAACGCTCTCGAATCTTCTGCTGCACTTTTATCTAACGAGGTGTCAGGAGGGGACGGAGCAGAATCGTGATCACTTTCAATAAAATTGATCAAATTCGTTCCCGGAGAAGAATCTCGGAGAGTATCAGCTGGTCTCTGTTGCACAACATCATGAACCATACTTCGAGGAGAAGGCGTGTACCTGGTAAAAAATTCCACACGAATCAGCTGTAGGGATTAGAAGAACCTCGCAAATAAATAATTAAATCAAGAAACAGGACTTGTGGGATATCACCAAACACGTGGAATACCTTCTTAGTGGTTGAGGTGTATCGCAAGAAAGTAGGTAAGGACGCTCTTCGGGAAACGGAGGTGGGGAAGCTTTATGAGGAATGGGTTCGAGGGAAGAAGCTTTATGAGGAATGGGTTCGAGGGAAGAAGCTTTAGGAGGAATGGGTTCGAGGGAAAAACCCAGAGTATCGGGTTTATCATCACGAGAAATTCCGGTCTGCAATAAGGTTTTGTCGTCATCTCTAATCTTCTTACCCTGAAAAAGGACACCAACATGTAGTCCGCCACCAAGAATTGTCGTCACTGCTTCCATGACTGTCCTCTGTAGAGATTAGGCACGTAGATTGAATTTGGCAGATAAAGTAACACTCAATACTTTTTCAGCCTGAATCTAAAGCGGGAAATTAATTGGATGGAGTAAATAATAAGGTATTAAAGTTCATGTTTTTACTTGCCTTCAAAGAACCAACAGTTGAGGTTTCTGGAATCTCAACAAAAAGCTCGGGAACTCTGAAAGACTTAATTCTGAGCTTCACTGAGTTAAACGAAAAGAGCATTACATGTCAGGACCTCTTTAAACGGTAGATATTGGTTTCAACTCATCGAGAAAAGATCTCATACCCTGGGAATCACCGGTCCTAAAGAACGCACACCCACCGGCAGCAGAGGTTGATGTCCCCGCTGTTTTCTGGGCTGTCAGAATCAAATGAAAGACATGAAAAAATAAGAGTTCTAACCAAACAACACTTGTCTGCTCGGTTATTTCTGCAGATAAGAGCGAACCTGTTGGAGGAGTATAATTAGAAGCATCCCCGTTATAGCCCTTCGTATGAGAGCTACAATTTCCATCGTTACTTATAGCTCGGTCAGAATTGGAATTCGACACCGAACTACAATCATAGAGCTTCCTTTTCTTGAAGGGGTAATCTCGTAGAGACCTTTCGGATTTGAGATTGTTCTTCTTATTGCCCAAAGCAGGCTTCGTAGCGAGAACCTCACCGGCATTTCGATGTTCCTCATAGTTCGATTTTGGATTAACTTCACAGTATTCAGATGCCAACAATTTCCCGATCCTTTGATCGCCAATACGAGGCAGAGCTGGCTCAAAGGCCTTATTTGCGGTGCTAGGTTGAGTGCACACAGAAGAGTTTTCGTCATCATCTCTATTACCTAATTTTACATTACCCCGACTCGCGGGAAAAGATCCGCAAGGAATGTGATCTTTCGACAAAGTTAACATCTTTACACTATTGTCAGAACATACAAAAGTAGAACAAGGTTTTCTATCCCAAACCTTAGTATCACTCGAAACCTTAACCTCATGTTTTCTAGGTTTCGCAACTCCGGTACCTAATTTACAACTAGAAAAGACTTTGCAGCCCGACACACCCGCATCTCCTTTCCTATCTACGCTTCCGGGCTCGAGCTTGCTTCCCGCATTGACCAATTGTTCCACGGGAGCAAACTTGTCCGAGCTATCGGAAGTCGTTATTACAGACTTAGGCGACAAACTATCATACGAGAAGTTACTAAACACAGGCGCCTGCGAGACAAGCTTGGACAGGAAGAAATTCCTTTCACAGCTACCTTGATTATTTCCCGGTTTTTCTTGCATTGTTCTATCCTCATTACCCTTTTCCCTATCAACACTATCTTTCTCGAGACTACACGAGCTTTCTCCTTCGAGTAGTAACTTTCCAGCAACGGTAGCTAACAAGTCAAACGAACACATCGGGCTGCCTTCCACTCTTCTCCAATTGACGCCTCTCTTCTGAAAGGAGATAACATTATAACAACAAAAACGTAACAATACACAATCGATATCAATAACGCCAAGAAATTTTACCCTAGCTGATCTTGTAGATCGAGGCATAGGAGGCACCCGATAGCCATTAAATCCATAATCCAATCTCTTCTGCAACACCATATCTTACCAACCATGCCACAATGAATTCAAAACACTCGAAACACTGAAAGAGGATTACAGTTATAGTCTAAAATACCCATAGTTTTACACATTCACCCAGCAGCTTAGCCAAAGGCCCACGCAAATGAAACACTGAAAGAGGATTAAAAACAAAATAGAACACAAGCTTTAATCTCAGATTACATAATGATACACAAATACTTAAACACAATTAAGGATCACAATCACAGATTATGAAACATAATATGGTTGATTAGCACTCTTCCTCCTGGTTCATATTACACTTAAACAATGTCATTAAATATAACAATTTGATGTTCAAGAACATATGAAATAAAGAACCAAACAAAAAAAAAAAAAAAAAATGTTCAGGAACACTTTTATCTTCATTTCATGGGTAAATTCTGAAAAACAGAATTATAAGTGGATTACCTTAAACTCATAGAGAAGATCAAAGGACAAAACCCTATGAAAACTCAAATTCTAAGATAAAACAAAAGAAACCACAAAGGAGATAAACAGACATTCTGAACCCCAAAATTTAAAAACCTTTAACACAAAGCAAGGTGAAGAACAAAACGGAAATCCAGATGATAATTGCAGAGAGGCTCTCCTTCACGGCATGAATTGAATGCCCAAAAAGAGGAAGAAAAGTTGGGGAAATGAAGGAAAGTTTTTGAAAAGCTCTGGCTGACGTCATCAAACAAAAGTATGATAATCCTCCATAATGAAAAAAAAACCCAAACCCCTTCCCAAAATTGCTCGTTTTCCACTTCTCTGGGCACTGGAACAGAATTCGAGACAAAAATTCGAACTTTTTTTCCGGAGAAATGAATCATCTCACCTTCAAATAACAGATTTTCCGTCCAAATTCAACCGAATTCCAACTCAAAACCCATGCTTTTTTCCAGAAAGTCGAAACTTTAACACAATTCACCGCCGGTAATTCAAGATCGGAGACTCGCCGGAAATTTCCGAGCCCAGAAATCTAATATAAGAAACACAAAAAACCCAGAATTCTCATCGATCACGCAAGAAATTCTTCACCCCATGATGTTTGCTTCTTCCCTCCACCTTCATCAAAATCAAAACTTTTTTGTCGTACGCAACCATGGCTTCGTTGTTCTCCCCGTCTCTCTCTCTCTCTCTGAGATGTCAAAAACCCTCGGAAAACCACCCATCCATAGCTTAAACCCCACTTCTTATACAATTGACCGCAGTGACCGAACCTATCGGTAAATCATGGTCGGAGACGGCCTACAGAAGGTTGCTAAAGACCGCTTCTACGGCACCATCTTGCCTCTGGATGTCGCCACGTGGACGGATATACGGATCGGGTGGTCTTCGCCTGGTTTTGCACAATCTATGAAAACGTTGGGTTACCAATCAACTATTTTTCTCTTTTTTTTTCTCTTTTTTTTTTTTTTTTTTTTTGTTCTTTTTGTTTTTTGTTTTTATAATTATTACTAGTATTGTGTACGCGCTATGCGCGAAAAATTCATGTCCAATATTAAAACATTGATAAATACGAATAATTAAAAATTATAATTTGAATTATATATATACAAATATAATATATGTATTTTGTACACACACATATATAATTTATCATTCATAGAAATTTAATTAAAATATAATTAAGTATTAAATTAATATATAATAATTTTAATAAAATGATAATTAAAAATAGGAAAAAGATATGATAGATATAGGTGTATGGTAATAATGATGTGTTATTAAAATTAGAATTAAAAATTAACGGTGTAAGGATAGTTTTGTCTAATAACATTGAAATTTACAACATTTAAAGTAAAATGTACACATTTTTTTGTATACAAAAAGAGGGACATAAATCAAGTATATAACTTTTATTGAGGCTTATTATGTTTTTAGATTAACTCGTGATATAATCATCTAATTTATAAATAATTAATAGATATGGCGAACATTGTCGAGCTGTGAACATTAGCTATCGAGTGTCATAATATTATATCATTACACATTTTCTGTTTGAGACTCTATGATGCGCAAAAGTTCGAAACTTAATTTTACATTGAATTTTTTTTTTTTTATCACTTATGCAATATTTGTTTTGAGTTTATTTTAATTTTATTAAAAAAAAAAAACTGCTTAGACAAAACTAGTTGTTTTACTTTTGATTAACTTATTGTAGTGACATTTTTATATTTGATTATGAATTTTAATTTGATATGTTCTAATTTTACCTCCCGACTTTAAAAAGCTTTTTAATTGTTAATTTATAATATCCAAAATGTCATTAAATATTGGAGTAAAAATTGGTAAGATGGTGGAAATTCTTTGTATTATAGACTAACAGGGCGTTTGGTTGGAGGGATTTTAAATTCCCACCTAATTCCAAAGGCCATTAAATTCCGTAGTTTGGTTGGAGGGAATTGCATTTCCATGGAATTGCAATTTTCCAATTTTCATGGAATTAAAATCCCATGTCCCCCCTGTGATTTTAATTCCGGAGATAAAAAGATAGTGATGAGTCAAAATTACCCCTTCATTTTTTAACCTAAAATTAATGTCTAACAACAATAATGAATATTTTTGACTTTATACTACTTATTCCCTTTCAATTCCCATATATACCAAACATTGGAATTGAAATTCCCAGTAATTCTATTCCTGTAAACCAAACACTGGAATTTAAATTCTCATATTATTCCCAGTAATTCAACTCTTATGAAATTACAATTACTTTCCTACATACTTCCCCCCCTCCAACCAAACGCCCGGTAAATGTATAGTTGATAAATAAATATAGTATGAATTAAGCTCATTTATTCTTATATTTATCTTAACTAAGATTAACTGTCCCAAGTCCCAACGTGTAGCCTCTCTTTACTCACCAAAAAATATCTTTATTTTTTTTTGAAAGAAAAAAATATCTTAATTAAGATAAACCAGTTTGAACATCAAAACTAAGTATGGCAGTTATTCTCACAATATAATACATTGTATTTTGTGATAACAATTTTTATTATAAAAATTTTGAAAAAAAAAATTAATTTTACAATAATTGATTTAGCTTAATGTTACATAATCGTTTTATGTTTTTATTACAATCTTATCTTCTTGACATGATATCATCTTATTAGACATTTTAATATTTATTTATTAATTAAATTAATTTTTTAATTAATAATGAAGTCAATCAATTTATAAAATACTAAAAAAATGAAAGTCACAATATCGAAAATTTATAAGGATAAAAAAGGATTTTTCATCCTTTTTATTATAGAAAAATGATGACTACAATGGGAAAATTTTGAATTAAGTTGATTTTTTAAAGGAACAAGAATAGAATATCCTTATAGGTGAAATGACTAATTTACTTATGTCCACTCTTCCATCATGAGGGCGTTGATGTCATTTATAAAATCAAAGAATTTAAATTTCTGTTCACATATGCAGTGTGTGGTAAATGATTTGTATGAATTTCCACGTAGGATAAGCATATAGTCTTACGTGTCATACACACAGCCCTTTACTGCGCACTTTTTGCTCCCTATTATCTCCAAAATTAATCGATTCCAAAATAAAAATAAAATGGTATTGCGAATAAACAGACGAGATAAGGTCACGTGGGTGACGTTGAAAACTACAAATAACGGCGTTAGACTGGGCGGGACCCGCAGTCTTATTTTGACAATGAAACTATGAAAGCCTTGAACGCGACGCCGACTGACGGTTACAACACAATGTAAAGTTAAAAGTGTTTTTGAAAAGTATAAAAATGATTTTTTTAAAAAAAATCTTTTTTGAAAAGTGAGTTACTCCGTATTTTTTATAAAATATTTTTTTTTTTTACAGTATTTGGTTCCGTTCTAATAAATAGGTTAAAATGTTATTCCGCATCATGAATTATATAAGATTATTCATGCTACACACTGACCTTTCATAATATATATTTTTATTCACGAACTACTGAATTTGTTTCGCTTAGGATTTTTCATAGGTTGCCTATAGGTTACAAGTAATAATATGTTGACATTGATTTTTTTTTTTTTCATTTTTCGTCTATCACCTTTGTCAACACGATGTTCATTGCCTCCCTGGCCGACTTCAGCATTCGAGAGTCGAGGTTGAAAATACATGCATAGATAGTATTCTAAGCACCCGACACGCCTGACATATGGATTTGCACCCAGCATGCCTCCGCAGTTCATCCCCGGGTGGCAATGGCGTTCGCAGAATGTGCCGCCAAGAGCCATTTCTCGTTCTCGAAAACTGGCTATGCAACCGCAGACCTAAAGATTGCTTTGTTCGTTGGCGAATACGGCGATGGGTACCCGTTTGACGACCCCGCCAAAGTCCTGGCCCAGGCCATTGCACCCACCAGCGGCTCATTTCACATAGATGCTGATGAGCATTAGTCCACGGATCCTTTGCCGGACGAGATGAATATCCAGTCTGTGTCACTGCATGAAATTGGACACCTTTTGGGACTTGCTCATAGTAACGTACTCGAAGCTATCATGTGGCCATCTATTAATTATGGTGTCAAGAACAGAGTATTGCACGATATGATGACGATGTTGAAGAAGAGCAGAACCTATCCTATCATAGCGAAAAGCTTGCAGTTGCATTTGGCATTATCTCTACTCCACCCGGAACACCAATTAAGGTCTTCAAGAATCTACAGATTTGTGTTAATTGCCATACCACCATGAAATATATCTCAAAGATTGTGCAGAGAAGAATAGTCATCTGGGATTCAAGTCGCTTCCACTGTTTTCAGTATGAAGCCTGTTCATGCAGCGACTGATGGAAATACATTCAAATCAGAAGAGGTTTCCCATTCTCCCTATGCCTGCATGCATGTGTTGGAAAATTCATTTCAGAGCAAAGAGCTACAATTTCGGTCTTCCTTTGACTTGTTAGTTATGGTCATGCAACCCATGTCCACACGTTCAATGCTCTTCCCCTTATTGTAACTGTTAGAAATAAAATGTGGCTCAAATTGTGTGGCTCAAAATCATGAAGACCACTCACCATGAAACTAGCGTTGTTCATCATCCATGTTTCACATCTTCACCTAATTTCGTGGGTCTTCTTACAATCACCACATTTGTCTCTACTTTTTAATGTATAAATAGCTTTGCTTGTTTTTGTAATTAAACATCAATTCATTTGAATTCATTTATATATTCCTTCTTTTGTCTCCTTACGTAGACATATATATATATATATATATATATATATATATATATATATATATATATATATATATATATATATATTCCCAATTTAGTAATTTCTTATTCTGTTATTTATATAGTTTTCTTCATTTACATATTTTCCCTATTATTTAACTTCTATAATTCTCAATTTTCGATTCTTCGCTTCCGCATTATTCCGCTATATTCCTAACAAGTGGTATCAGAGCGGTTTATTTGAGAATTATTTTCAAAGATGTCGACTGTCACTAAGTTCGATATCGAGAAGTTCGACGAGAAAATTAGCTTTTCTATCTGGAAGGTTCAGATGGAAGCCGTTCTAACCCAGAACGGTTTGAAGAAAGCTCTAGCTGGGAAGAAGAAGAAACCAGCTACAATGACAGATGAAACTTGGGAAGATTTGGATGACAAGGCACGTTCAACCATTCTTTTGTGCCTGTCTAAAGAGGTTCTACGTGAGGTGGTAAGTGAGACGACTGCGTCATATTTATGGTCCAAGCTGGATACGCTTTACATGGCCAAAACTCTGGCGAATACGCTACGCCTGAAGGAGCGTCTGTACACAATCCGTATGACGGAAGGTATTTCTATTAAGTCTCACTTAGATGAATTCAATTCTATTTTATTGGACTTGGAAAATATTGATGTCATAATTGACGATGAGGATCGTGCTGTTTTATTGCTTGTTTCTCTCCCTAAATCATACAAGCATTTCAAGGAAATTATGCTGTATGGTAATAGTAGTGATACACTTACTTTCGACAATGTTAAGTCAAACCTATTGTCCAAAGAAAAGTTTGACTTTGAAATTAAGTCTGAGGACAAAGTTGAAGGCTTGACTGTAAGGGGTCATTCACTTGAAACAGAGAGTAGCAATAAAAAATCTAGATCCAAGTCCAACAAATCCTGTAAGTACTGCAAGAAGCATGGTCATTATGTGACTGAATGCTTCAAGCTGAAAAACAAGCAAGAGAGAGAAAAGAAGTCCGCTGAAGCTAGTGTT